GATTAGTTTATAATCGTTATATTGAGGTAACGCTATAGTATATAGTTGTCTTAAATTCACAATGTTCTTATTGGTTGATGGTCGTAATAGAGAGGTTGCGTTATAGTAAATGTTTGTAATCTAATTACATCGTTCAGTTGATGGTCGTAATAGAGAGGTTCTGCTAAAGTGAATGTTTGTAATCTAATTACATCGTTCAGTTGATGGTCGTACTAGAGAGGTTGCGTTATAGTAAACGTTTGTTATTTTATTTCATCGTTCAGTTGATGGTCGAACTAGAGAGGTTGCGTTTAAGTAAATGTTTGCTATTTAATTACATCGTTCAGTTGATGGTCGTAATAGAGAGGTTCTGTTATAGTTAACGTTTGTAATCTAATTACATCGTTCAGTTGATGTTCGTTATAGAGAGGTTACACGATATTAAATGGTCGAGTTTTAATCCATATATTAGTAAGGGGTCGTTATAGAGGGTCTACGCTTTTAAAATATCTATCGTATAATCATAAGGTTCTGCTCAGTTAATTTCGGTATAGAGAGGTAATACTTAAGTAAATGGTGTTTATATGTCTGTTAGTTTGTTGTTTAACGTCATTGCGTTTCGCCGCCTACCTTAAAAACATGATGATAGTTAGTGTGGTATCGAGATCGCAAACTATCGCTTTAGTAGATGTCATGCATTACATAACAATAAATATATGTTTTCATGTAAAACGAGAGGTGCGCCAGGGAACAATTTCGTTTAGACACTATTTAGATTTCGGGGACGCGGGAATCATCGTTTGGACCTCTCGGATGTGCACAGAGTAATATTAGACATGTTAAAGGTTTATATCAAGTTTCGATCAGAAAGATCGTAAGATTTCTTTATGTATATATTAGTTTATAAATTACTCTTGATATAGCACGCCTATAATCGTTCTACTCTGTTTTGCAGATGTCAACATCGTGGGTAACGTCCATGGTCAATACAGGAGTTTTATCATCGCGCGCCTCCGGGGAGAAGTTGACGACCCCCGCCCTGGGGCATTGTCTAGGCTCAAGTGGTGGGAGCTGTTTAAAAATAATCCCGAAATGTTTAAACAGCTATTTAGAGGTATCCCAATACAGGAAGGAATGGAGAATCCGTTATAAGCAATTAGAGAACAATCGTATTGGAAACAAGTTAAATGCTTTTTAGAAAACGTCAATAATGTAATACGCATTGCGCTTTTTGAAGAGACCGAGAGAGAAGAAACGAAGAAGAATTTGGTTATTCTCATATGTGTCACATCATCAATTTCGTCGACGTTCCAATACAAATGTTATAGAAAGATGTAAACATGTGATATGCTATCTTGTCACCGTTAACACAAAAAGGACAGTGAGCGGGCAATCTGGTGGATCACATTATCAAGTTTATTGTCGGACAATGTCACCATTGACTATAGATGTAATTAAACTCTGTGGAACAAAACTGTGTGAAATAGTAGTGAATATGGACATACCGTAGACTACTTGTTTCTTTATCATATTCTCACTTTTTGAGATTGTGGCAACATTCTAATTTATAGACACTGTGCTCTGATAGCTTAGCTTTGGGGGAAATGATGACGAATATAATCAATAGATAAATATATAAATAAATATCATCAGTTGATAAAAAAATGAAACATTTATTCGTTGTAACAACACGGATTCGTTGGTATAACGGTGGATCAGTGGGATAGGTTGTAATGTTAATTTTGTTGATTTGAAAAAAAAAACCTTCATAAACTTATAGTACAGAAGCTGTAGCTCTGGAATTGTTTAAAATAACGACATGAGAATGAATTGATTTAGCTGATGAATCTGTACAGATTAAACAATAACATCCCTATTGACTGACAGCAGACCATTCCGATAAATCGTTAACATTCCAGATACAAATATTTGTACAATATCATTTTGTAAATAAATATTCGTAGGTCACCATTTTCAGCTTTTGTCATTGATAGGTGCGTCCCAAATGTTAGACTTATTTAATATTAATTATATATCACGTGATGCCATTTGTCTGTAACATCCCTGTGGTACTCTCATCCTCATGTTGTTTAGGTGAAAACATTTCAGCTGCACCTGTCGTTAAACTTCAAAACACACAATCATCTTTATCTGATATATGACATCGTTTACACACTGTATAAAAAGTATCTGACGTCTTGATGTAAAACTAGTAAGAGACGACAATCAAAAACTACGTATACGAATATATCGTGATTATGAGTTATCTCCCGTTGACAGATCCGCGTGTTTACAGTTTCCATATGCCTTAATTAATCTGTCAAGCAATGTCACAGATTCAAGGCTTTTAAAACTCATAGTTTTTAAATTATTTGAAGTAGATTGAATGTGCTTAGATTATTCGACATAACCCCCCCGCCCCCAGATTTCATACAGGTTGGGAAGTTCATTTTCAAAACATTTCGTGTTTGTTTCAATCTCTTATCAACTATTCTTTAGAAAGTGATTCCATTGAAGAGGCAGCACGTTAATGTGTTTCAAAAAGTTCATATATCTAACCAAATCTTTATATAAGAAGTAGTATCCTAGATTTTTCTCAAGAAAGACGTTTGAGATCGAGACTATAGCCTAAATATTGTCCATACTAGATCTTACACACTTTAATATGTATATGGTCAACAGTCAAGTGGTCGGTGGAGATTGGTAACGTCATAATAAATGGTTCTCATTTTATATCAATGTCAGTTTCTCGAAGGTGGTCGGTTCATACATAGGATTGTCATATGATGGCAATGCTAAGATCAGCAAGCAATGTTGTTGTTATACAGAGGTTACACTGTAGAAGAGGGTTGTCATATAATGACAATGCTAGGATCAGTAAGGTTGTGGTTATACAGAGGTTACACTGTAGAAGAGGATTGTCATATAATGACAATGCTAGGATCAGTGAGGTTGTCGATATACAGAGGTTAGACTGTAGTAGAGGGTTGTCATATACTGACAATGTTAGGATCAGTAAGGCTGTTTTTATAGAGATGTTTTACTGTAGTCGAGGGTTGTCATATTATGGCAATGCTAGGATCAGTAAGGGTGTCATTATACAGAGGGTACACTGTAGCAAAGGGTTGGAATATACTGACACTGCTAGGATCAGTAAGGTTGTAATTATACAGAGGTTACACTGTAGAACACGATTGTCATATAATGACAATGCTAGGGCAGTAAGGTTGTCGTTATAGAGAGGTTACACTGTAGTAGAGGATTGTCATATAATTACAATGCTAGGATCAGTAGGAGTGTCGTTATACAGAGGTTACACTGTGGAAGAGGATTGTCATATAATGGCAATGCTAGGATCAGTAGGAGTGTCGTTATACAGAGGTTAAACTGTAGAAGAGGATTGTCATATAATGACAATGCTAGGATCAGTAAGGTTGTCATTATACAGAGGTTACACTGTTGTAGAGGGTTGTCATAAAATGGCATTGGTAGGATCAGTAAGGTTGTGGTTATACAGAGGTTACACTGTTGTAGAGGGTTGTCATAAAATGGCATTGCTAGGATCAGTAAGGGTGTCATTATACAGAGGGTACACTGTAGCAAAGGGTTGGCATATACTGACACTGCTAGGATCAGTAAGGATGTCGTTTTACAGACGTTACACTGTAGTATAGGGTTTTTATATAATGACAATGCTAGGATCAGTAAGGTTGTCATTATACAGAGGTTACACTGTAGCAAAGGGTTGGCATATACTGACACTGCTAGGATCAGTAAGGTTGTCGTTTTACAGACGTTACACTGTAGTATAGGGTTGTTATATAATGACAATGCTAGGATCAGTAAGGTTGTCATTATACAGACGTTACACTGTAGTAAAGGGTTGTCATATACTGACAATGCTTGGATCAGTAAGGTTGTCGTTATCGACAGGTTACACTGTAGTAGAGGGTTGTCATATAATCGATACAGAGACGTCACACTATATTTGATACACGATCGTAATGTGAATGTAAAAATGGTCTTACGGTATTATTTAGTTACATACAGAATCAATAAGACTAGTTTATGGATTACTACCGTAGACATATAAGTCATAGAAAATGTCCAGGACCTGACTGAACTGGTCAGTGATCGAATGTTTAACTGTGAATAATAGGTATGGTTATGTATCACAAAGGGTAAAACGTGTCACAGCTGATATGAACAGTAGAAAAGTTGGAGGACACGAACGCCAAGTATCCTCGTGTTACCGGTTTCCGCGCACTTAAGAAGCAACCGCGATTTCGTACTCATATCGGCAGGAGAATGTTGAAATGACGGATGACTGTCATAAACATGTACTAATGGTAACAAAAAACTAGCAACATAAAACTGCTTTTAAAAAAAAAATCAGAACAAACAATCTTTAACAAATTTCTCCCATCGGAAGTAGCCGTCATATGTGTCACTCTGTCTATTTTGATTTAGTGTTCATTCAGTTCATAAAGTTACCCGTCATGCTTGAGCGAACATCTCCATTCGCTCGGATTGTAAAAATAGACAAACTTACTCGTGTGTCAGTAAAGGTAATCTATATATAGACAAACTTACTCGTGTGTCAGTAAAGGTAATATATATATAGACAAACGTACTAGCCAACAGGAACGTAGGATACCCGTAGTATGTACTTGGCAGCCAATCTATATATACATATATGAACCAAAATGAGACATATAACTTGATGAATTTTATATGGAGGATATAACGAGTTACCTCCCGTACCATGAAGACAGTGATATAAAGACAATAATGTGTTAAGTCATCCGGGATACTGATTGACCAATTATTTAAATATATAATTATTTAAAAGTGTACGCTAACCAGAAATGCATTGGAAACTTATAATTACAACAACTGACTTTTATATATTTATCAGAATATTAATTACTTTTAATATGACACTCCTATATATGCTGTTGTCTGTTCATATGACATACGTATGACGTTATTGTTTGTTGTACAGAGGCCAACATCGTGGGTAACATCCGTCATGCTCCACGTGAATACGACCGGTTTATCATCGCACATTGGGGCATTGTCGAGGGTCCAGTGGTGGCAGCTGCTTATAAATGTTCCCGAAATGTTTAAACAGCTATGTAAAGGAATCCCAATACAGGAAGGAATGAAGAATCCGTTATAAGCAATGAGAGAACAGTCGTATTGGAAACAAGATAATTGTCTTTTTAAGAAATCAAAACAATCAACGTTATACTCACTTTACATTTTTGAGAGACAGAGAAAACAAAGAAGACTTTGGTTATATGAGTTTGGCCTCTGTAGAGTCGAAGGGTTTTCTTATTTGTCTTCTACTAAAGGACATTAAAGAAATCATAATGGATCTGTTCTCCTTTCTCTTATCTACTCGTTCGTTCCGATGGTGTTGCATTAGACACCCGTCTTTGCAAAGCCTTACACGTGGCGAGTACGTTAAACCACTTGCGACCAAATAAACAAAAATCTATAAAATATTTCATTTTATTGAAGGTATCTAGCAGTAGTATTTGACAAGAGCATGTATCTGGTTTACACGTGCGTTAATAAATACGTATGGCATTTTTACGCTACACTGCACTGTCATAGTTTTGGTTTGTTTTTAGCTTTATTTGCTGGAGTTTGAATGGAGTGTTGACTCGGATGAGTGTCACTGGGCGCGCGATGAGTTATCCGTTTGTATAAGGTGGTCGCTGCTGTATTCCAGTCATCTACCCACCAACTCATGTAGCTGTAATTGGCCTCCGACGATATCTGAAAATAAAAATCTTTATTAAATATTAATTTGTTCGGTAAGTCAGAACACTGTTTACACCATTACACAGTATCACGTGAGCAAGTGCATAGTTAAACATATAACTGGGACACCACAAAAACCAGAACGTCAAAAACCTTTTGTTGACATCGATATGAAATCTGCAGTCGTTAACAAACATTAATGGCAAACAAATAATTTTATTTTGATTTAAAAAATATTTATTTCAAGTCCATATTACATGTAATGGTTTGCATGCTTGATCTGGGAATAGTAGTAAATATGTCCTGTTTCCTTCGCATCGCGATAAAGCTAACTTGATTGACCTGAACATATTCTGAACTATTCCTTGATCAGTTATTGAATAATTCAGTATGTTATCGCCACTGTATGTTTTGCAACTCCTGTATTAATTATGTATTTTTTTTTTATTAAACATTCATGTTATTCACATACTGTATTAATAACGTGACGTCACGTTTGAGGATTTTAAGCCTGGACCTTCAGTGCTTACGTCATAATCAATGGCAATTGTTTCTCCGACTGGAAACAGGGATATTATATTTCAAAGAAGTCAAATATATGGTGTACTTTGCCACATATGATATTAATGTTACTGGAGTTAAATGTCCTCAAAAAGGGATTGTTTTCATGGTAAAATAACGCACATTAGTAAAATTTCTTGGCTAACCTCATGTCTTTATACAACTTGAAAGTTAAGTAAGATAACCATAATGGCAAACCCCCATTTGGTTGAGGGCATATATGCATACTAAAGCATACATTTATGAGTTATGGTTCAATATTAGCTTTTCCCAAGAGTTGATTTAAAAAGCTATTTTCAGAAAGCCATCACAAATCACCAATCTTCTCTAGGAAACAGTTCTATTTATAAATTATTCAAGTGCAAAACCTCTGACGTTCAGGTTCCTGACGACTAACCAATGGCCATTGGTACCATGACCTTGATTTCTAAAGAGTTTTATCTGGTCGCTCACCTTGGAAACCCTTTCCAATACACATATTGCTTCTATTTCTTTTTGTCTGTATTCAACCGGAACAACGAGATCCTGGAATACTGATGAATGATCCGTCAACGAAGGGGAGCCACGGTGAAATAGGAGGAATGCAATAAGTCTGACGGGTGAACCTTGTTGTAACTCTGAAAATATAATACTGTGTTGTATGCATATTGAAATATAGTTCCGACTCTGCGCCTCTCGAAAGATAGTATCGTCAGGACTGTGAAGTTGTAAAGGGGCTTAGAAAGAATGATGATATAGCATGTAAAAAGCTCAACACTATGGTTCTCGACACTTCAACACCTTATATCTTAGATATTAGGAAACGTGGCACGATTGTCCTCAAATCTTGTTATTACATTATATCTTACTGTACGATTAAGGTGAATACATGTATTTCTATTGTTATGTTCTGACCGTATGCATGACAAACTTATGCCTGCTTATGTTATAAAGTTTAAATAAAGAATATTATAATAATATATATGATGTGTATAATTGAACATTAACGTTATCACACCTATCAATGCCCGCTTAGCATATATTATTTATAAAAAGCACCCATTTTATTAATTAAACAAATGGGCCAAGCCCGATTTCAGAACGCGACCATCCGCCCGCCATATACAGCCTCGATTTTACGGGGCTACGCTCATTTTAGCTCTCTGCACCCCTGAAATATGTCAAAGCAAAGTTGAAGGCACGCGTCTTGCTATTTGATTGATGTCAGGTAAAATAAAACACCTGACCAATCACTAGGCTAATACTTGTCCCTTAAAGATTACAGGATCAACGCACGACTTCAAAGCCAGTAAGTTTTACCGTTACGCGACCGCGAAATTCTTCTGATTAAATGTTTACTACATTTCGATTAAATCAACACAAACTGGAGCTAGCCATGGGGCGTCTCAAAAGTATACTAAGAGACCAGAGACTCTGTAAAAATGAACTGTATTGGAAAATGAAGTTCACTTCTTTTTTCACTGTTTCCTTAATGAATCTGCCAGAAAAGAATATTTCCAAAAATGCACTCCTTATCACAATGATGTTACCTTATAAACCAATTATTTGACCTCTATATTATCTACAAACAACTCGCAGTTTATACTGGACTCTTGCTTATTCATTAAACAGTCTTTAGAACTGAGGAGAGTTGGCTTGCTGACAGTATCAGGTATGGACTTTGCAGCTAACAGTGTTTAAATCAAATTTTCTATTTTAATCTATGATTATTTTGTTCATGTTAATGTTATTAGAAATAAAAGCTATCACCTTGCGACTTTTCTACATGTACATGTCTACGTATGTATTTCACTGTGTTTCACTGTTTTGTCTTCAAACTAGTTACAAATGTGCGAATAACATATTTGTGTTTCTGATGTACACAACATGATAAACTAGTCTTCTCGTCTCACTCACAAGGTCGTGCACACTGAGCCTTTGGTTAGATTGTTTAGATATACATCAAAGGATCAAACTAGTCTTCTCGTCTCATCCACAAGGTGGTGCACACTGAGCCTTTGGTTAGATTGTTTAGATATACATCAACGGATCAAACTAGTCTTCTCGTCTCATCCACAAGGTCGTGCACACTGAGCCTTTGGTTAGATTGTTTAGATATACATCAACGGATCAAACTAGTCTTCTCGTCTCATTCACAAGGTCGTGCACACTGAGCCTTTGGTTAGATTGTTTAGATATACATCAACGGATCAAACTAGTCTTCTCTCTCATCCACAAGGTCGTGCACACTGATCCTTTGGTTAGATTGTTTAGATATACATCAAAGGATCAAACTAGTCTTCTCGTCTCCTTCCCAAGGTCGTGCACACTGATCCTTTGCTTTTGCTATGACGTATCACAGGGGTGCAGATAGCGAAAATGAACGTTACCCCTGAAATATTGAGGATGCTATCCCTATCGTTACTCACATACACATTTTGCGAATCAAGATGAAACGGACGATGATATATACCTCGGACAAAGTGACGGCAGACGGACAGAATGTTACCGGACATGACTCACCTGTCTGCTCGACTACTAAACACTCGAAATCGCTGATGATTTGCCTCAAACCTATTCGTCAAAAAGAAAGAAAAACATATAACAATATATTCTTCTGAATCTTTGAAGTAACGACATTTTTTCATCTGTTAAAAGTTATGCTTTTCCTAATTTCCAACAGGCCACGAACATACAAATCTTTAACAAATCCTTCCACCCAAATGTGAACACGCGAGCCGCAGTACTCTTTGCCTTTGTCGATTGTAAGCGGCCTTCGATAATCATTTCCAACATTTCCCTACCTTGTTGTATATTTCACCATAATAAACTCATATGTGTCATTATTTCCTACTTCAATATCATGGAAGTTGCATTCTTTACTGGACAGCAGTAGGATAAAGAGAGGATTAATGTATACCACTTGTTAATCATATTAAAATCTCACATATTGGGGCCAACAAGACAGAATAGAGAACACCGGCCCCTTGAATAGTAAATCCAAGACTATGATTCCGCTGATGGTGGCGGGCGTAAGATGTGTCATTAAAATATCTTACCTTTATTGCTAAACTCTGCATGCTTTTGTATTTGCTAGCAGTGAATGCATATGTAATTTTTCGAAAAAGTTTTCTAAATTGCCCATTCACCGAGCTGAAATGAGCATTGATCCTATAGTATTGTCTGAAACACTTACGTTCACCTGATAGTGGAATCGGCTGCCTAATAAGTGATTCTTCCTCCTGAATAGAATGTATTTTGATATGTTTTAGTATCGATATATTTCTGGTGCAAGATGCATACCTTGTTATTAAACGCTTAAAACAGGGTCATTGAACAAAATGATAACCGCCGGTGAACAACAGGAGCAAGAGGTTTATAGTAAATTGTCTCCCTTGACACGGTAAATGAAACAGCGTACCTATGTTCACTGTGTAGCAATTTTGACCCAATGCATCGAAATGAAATTTTGACTTTATATCTCAAAATTACGATATGCTTACTCCCCATTTCGACATACTAAAATAATTCTTCGACTTAATATCTTAACATTTCGAGATATCAACTCGAAATTTCGACTTACTACATTTTGAATTCGACATAATAAATAAAAAAATATATTTATCAACTCGAAATTTCAATATATATTTTCTCATGTTTTTCACTTGTATAAAATGTAAATATCACAAACATGTATCACATGTTTATTTACTTTCACAGACTGATGTAACATGTAATTTATAACAACAGGCATTTATATGTAATTACTACAAAAATCACAAACAGGTGGATTACGAGTATATTTACATGTACTATTACATAGGGAATAACATGTTTTCAAATTTTAGTTAACGGCAGATATTTGATTAATTTGCTTTACACTTTCTCCAATGGAAATAAAAGTTCCTGTTTTGGGCAGATCTAGGAGTATGGGTGGGGTAGGATGGGAGGTTTCAGGGGGTTCCCTGATTAAATATTTTTCTAAAACAATTAAAATTAAATAAATTGAAGTCCTGATTTGAGTTGGAGGAATTCCATTTTAAACACGTCGCGACAATACATTGTTGATATGACCCTGAACTCTGTAAAACTATAAATGTGTGTAAAATAGTGTCAGTGCGGCCATTTTAACTTGATTTCTGTATCCTTTTTATGGTTATGCTACAAGTGTATAATAATTAAGTATTGACAATACCAGATATAAGCAGAAATGTAGGAATCGCCTATTGTCTGATCTTTCTGCTAGAACATGAATTTCGTTCTTAACTTAATGTTACTTATTGTATATGATTTTCGTTCTTCACTTTACATTATTTGATATTTATTTTCAATCGAAATTTACTGTCTATGTTGTAGTAAACTAAGTTAAGATTTAAATGCATACCCTGAACATAAAATCGTATTTTTTATATTAAAAATGACAACAATTGCAACACAAGTTTTGTCTTTTAATAAAAATGAAAATAAAGAACTACTAAAGTTGTCAAGAAAATTATATTAAAAAGACATGAGGAACGAATATTGATTTATATAATTATGTCTTCAACACTAACACACACACACACACACTCACACACCCTTACACGTCCAGTAGGGCCCTTTTCTCACATGTTTTGTGGCATGCATGGATATATCGATTGTCTGCATATTAAAAGTAAAGCTTAGTTGTTTTATCAAGGATATTCGTATCTTCATCTATTGAAACACGTTTAAAAACACATTCGTTGTTTTATTTGTTTCGTCTTCCCAATAATAGTTGTAAATATATAATTATGTACATGTATTAGACCAGTTCACTAAAAACGGTTAGATTAAACTTACCTTTGTCAGCCGAATAATTTCCTCAATATCATTATTATTTGCCAGTCTAATTGTATTCCTTGGACCGCCTTTTGGTTGAACAGGAATGGACATTTCACATCAGACAGTGGCCAATACAGCAGAGGTAGCATACGCCTGTTTACAAACAGTTCATAGGTATGTCAAACAAATGGGTCATCCACTGTTTTGTAATTCTTTTGTTATCTTTGAAGAAGTTCGATAGATAATCTTATTGAAAGCGTATGGATTTAATCATGCTGGATTCACTGCATTTATTGCCAATGTGTAAAATATTCTATCATGTTGATATGTAAGCAAATAGCTGATCTGACCGGCAGAGGTTAGCCGTACGGATATTTGGTGAGAAGAAGGGGAAATACAAAGGACATAAACTTTAGCATGGATTCGGCAGTCTATATTTAACTTCTGAATTCAAACGCTCGTGTATAGGGTAATGGTATGTTAAATACATTTTATTATCGGATTAAAACAGATAGAGTGGCACGGATTCGATTATTAAGTCATCTAAAAATATTCCTACACCTATGAAAACAAGAGCCAAGGGCCACTTAGTTCTCTCGGCATATGACTGAAGTGCTTGGAACTGCTCAAGAGACCTTGCATCCAGTCTGTTAACAATGACGTATTTTTTCAAAACTATAGTCTAAATGTGTCTGTAAGACACGGAAGGGGGCCCCGCTCCCTGTCTGGCCGTAAATATACACACACCGTGTATAGTGGGTGCTACACATGCTGTGAATTGGCGTGTGTGCTATTTTTAGCATGTCAAAATTCATGTAATAACAAGAGTACTAATTAACTTTGAGAACATTTACAAGAAAATAGAACAACAATTGTATGAAACTTGCAATCGACCATCACAATATTCTCCCACAAATGCATAGTTATAACCCTGATACGATTACAAGCAAAACTCCGACAGAATTTTAGAACCATGACTATAGTCTCTTGGCTATGAATAGCACAGAGAACTAAAAAATATACATTAACGGGGAAAAACATGAATGCTTAATTGAATTTGAGGTTTTTTATGTAAAACCCATTTTTATGATAAAACTACTTACCACGTCCAATTATTATGCAAATGATCTCCAACTACCAGTTCTTTAACTCCGAAAGGAAAGTTTAAAATGCCCCGCGCAAATACGAAACCACTCCCTGTCAAAACCGGACATACGGGTGTAGGATGCGCGAGCACCTCCAACTTCCTCTATTCGAAACACGAACAAACACCTAAAAGCAAACAGCCTAAAGGAGCCGGAGGAGCCAGGGAGGAGGGAGGGGCTCACATTGGACGTGGTAAGTAGTTTTATCATAAAAATGGGTCTTACATAAAAAAAACCTCAATTTTATATCAAAAACAATACTTACCACGTCCAATTATTATGCGAATTCGTCTTACCTAGTGGATACTCCTATCCGGCAGGACCATGGCTAATCCAGGAGGGCGGTACACTGGTCACAGTCAATTGGAACCTTAATACCGAGGAAAAGCTCTTATATAGAGCACCCAAAATTAAAAGATAGAAAGATCATTGCCAAGCAAAGATTTTCTGTCGCCATGCTAACGCATACAAATCTAAAAACAGAGAACACTCTACTCTGAGGTGGGTGGGCAAGCCACTGACTGGGCAGCAATCATCGGACCAAAAGAGTAAAGTTTTTTCTGAGAAGGACGCCAGTGATCTCAGATAGAACTCTGTAAAGGTAGCGTGTCCTTGCCAAAAGGCTGAGGACATACCCTCTGAAAAGGGAGCGCCATTGAGAAGGGCCCAATATGCTGCCAGAGCCCTAGCATCATGTGCCCTAACATTGAATGGTCTTCTGACATCATCAGAAGAAGACTAATAAACCAGCCTAATAACCTGGTAAATCCATCGGGAGACGGATTGTGCCGAAATACTTAACTGGCAACTCTTGATGGGCAGAAAAAGCCTAGACTGTAATACTCGATCCCCACTGTCTTGCCCAGATAATGTCTGAGAGCTCTGACAGGCCAGATAAGACGATCACGCTCGTCCTTACCAACCAGGTCAGAGAGAGAAGGAACGCGGATAGGTTCCGGAGAAAACCCCGGAACCTGATTTTTGGCGAGGAAAGAAGGTTCCGTCCTGATAGTCACGGAAGAGTAACTCCTGCCGAAACGTAAACAGGAGGAAGACGCTGATAAGCCATAAACCTCGCTACGCCTTCTCCCCGGGGCAAGGATGACAAAAAACACAGTATTGAATGTCAAGAATTTCAAGGAGGCTTGACTCAAAGGCTTGTAAGGAGCACCCAAAAGGGACTCCAGAACCAAAGCTAAATCCGATTGAGGAGTTAGACGCCTAACGCTAGATCTGTCAATACCAGATAAAGCCGACCGATAGCCGGCAATGGTACCAGGAGCTAATTTCTTACTGCGAAACAAATGCAGTATAAACTCTGCAATAAGAGGAACAGAGGCCTTAAGCGGGTCAACCTGCCTCTGACCACACCAATCGCAGAGGATGCTCCGCCTAGACTGGTAGACTGCCGCGGAAGAAGACCTGATGGACCTAGCGATACAGTCTGACACCTGTCCAGAAAACCCCTTCTGCACGAGACCACCGGAGATAGCCTCCACGCGTGAAGGTGCAGTATAGCCGGGCGGGAGTGCACGATTCTGGACCTCGGCTGTCGTAACAGGTTCCACCTTTGTGGGAGGACCAGAGACCATTCCACCAGAAACTCAGAAAGCTGAGGCAACCATGGTTGCCTCGGCCACAAGGGAGCCACCAGAATTAGGGATCAAGGCTGCTCCTTGTACTTCTGGAGGACCTTGGCCACCAAGTTGAAGGGAGAAGGCGTAAGCATGCAACCCCTTCCAGTCCAGAGACGGAGCATCTACTTCCCATGCTGCTGGATCTGGAACGGTTGAGACACACGTCGGCAACTGATGGTTCAAGGCTGTGGCAAATAGGTCTACATGAGGCCTGTCACAAACCAGAAATATTGCTCGGAATATGGATGGATCGAGCTGCCACTCCGTCAGAACCGGCTGAAGACGTCTTGATAGGGTTTCTGCACGTACCTGAGCGAGCCTGCCCGTTCAAGTACGCCCCCAATCTGTCTTGGACGCATCGGTATACGTGGTCATGGTGGGTGAGCTCTTGTGCAAGGACACCCCCTTCAGGACATTGTTCCGAACTGTCCATCATTGGGCAAATTCATTGACCGACTGACTGAGAGGAATGAAAGCCTCCCAATCGCGCGACGCAGGAACCCAATGGCTGAGAGGAAACATCTGCAGAGGTCTGATGTGCAGCCAGCCAAGAGGAACTACATCTGCTAGTGAGTTGAGAAACCCAAGCAGACTGAGGTACCAACGAACCTGTACCACAGAACTCTGGATAAACTGAAGCACCAGACTCCTTGCCTTGATGAGTTGGAAGGACTATACCCCTGGCTACGTTGAACCGGTAGCCTAGAAACACAAACTCCTGGGAGGGAGACAGTTCTGACCTCTCTCGGGAGGGGATAAACCTGACATTGAGAAAAAGACTCAGAACTAGTCGAGTATCCTACACAAGGAACTCCCTGAGTAAATGAAGCATGAGAGAGTCGTCGAAGTAAATATGTATGTTGATACTCCGCTGGTGCAGGAAACCTACCACAACCTGCAGTAGTTTGGTAACAACCATTGGGGCTGTGGTAAGGCCAAAAGGCATAGCCCGGTACTGGAAGATCTTGCCCTCGCATGAGAAGCGAAGATACTTCCTGTCCGACTTCCTGATGGGAATGTGGAAGTAGGCATCCTTCAAGTCTATTGAAGTAGCCCACATTCCTTCCCCGACTGAGGCAATAATGCCTCTCGGAGTCTCAATCTGAAAGTGGGGAGAGTCCACGAACCGATTGAAGGCACTTAGGTCTATTATCGGGCGCCGAGCTCCCGACTTCTTCTTTACCAGAAAAAAATCGGGAATAGAAGCCTGGAGAGCACCGGCACCGTGGGAGCTCCTCGACTGTACCCTTCTCGATTAGGGTAGCAATTTCCTGTCTGACAGCTAGAGCCTTCTCTTGATCCACCGGGTATGGGAAAAAGATTGGCTCTGCTGTGAGCGGAGGTTCCCGTAACAACGGGATGCTCAATCCTTCCGCAACTATTGGCAATGCCCAACTGTCCTGAGTAATCTCCTTCCATTGAGGAAGGAAAGCCCTTCCCAAACGTCTATGTGGCTGTCTACGACCGTGAATAGACCGGGTAAATGAGACCTCTGATCTACTTGAAGGAGGGAAGAAGTCAGGAATACTGCTTCTTACCCCCACAGGGTTTAGTACTCTGCTTGTCCTTTCCCTTGGCTTTGCCCTTAAAGGTAGACTTAGCCTTAGCCGCAGACTGAGTTTGGCGAGGCCTCAACTTAGCCTTGTTCTTACCAGCAGCCGATCCTTTTGAAACTAAAAGTAATGAGGCTACTGGGTTATCCTTAACTTCTTTCTGAATAGAAGGAAGGGCACCCCCGAAGAGCCAAGGACACTCGAAGGGAGAGGACAAAAGCCTGGAATAATAAGGTTCCTCAATAGGCTTATCTTTAAGCACAGAGGCCTCCAGACAGTTGTGCAAGGATGAGGTCACCCTATCCTACACACTCTCATCTACCTCTGACTCCCCTATTGACACTTCCGATAAACGGAAAAGGGTCACCGTCAGGAAATCAAAATATGAGAGTACCTGAAGAGAAAGCCGCAGGATTTTCTCCAGTTTGTGGTGTTCCTTGGCAGAGAACACCACCTGGTCAGTCGCCGGTCCTGGCCATTGCCGAAGCTCATGAGTTTCAAGCTTAGCTGGTTGACTCTCAAGTTTGGCATCGTGAATGGCGTAGTCTGAGGACCTAACCTCAGACAAATCTGCCAAACTCAGCTTCAGGCCAGATGCACCAGATGCACGAGGGAACGAACCAGCCAAAGCCGAGGAAACAATAGAACCCTCAGGCAATGACTTGTTGGAACGAGCCGAAACCTTAGGCAGCACAAGCGGACTCAGCAGCGTTGTCGCCTGCGGAATGGCAGACGCCGCAGGAGGAGGACAAACCTCCTTCCCGAGGATTCTGGCTACGTCGGCGCGAAGCGCCCGCGTGCCCGCCAGAGCACGATGGGTTTCAGTCTCAACCTCAGGCTCTACCTAAATCTCAGCCGACAACTCATCATCTTCAGATTCCGACGTCATCGTCCTTGTCCCCCTTCTCCATGTCAGTACCCCTCCTGGAAGTAGACACCGACGTATCTACTGGAAAGGGCAAGGTAGAGTTCTGGAAACTCTCTGAGAAAGTCCTCTTACAAGCTCTCTTAGGCTCCGAAGGGCCAAGATGAGACTCTGAAGACCTACGAGAGGAGGGGATCTTGGTCTTGGAGCGAGATGTCCTCAAAGCCCTAATAGGTCTTTTAAACACAAACTTCTCCCCAGCTCCAGAGGTGGGTATGAGCCGAGCATTCAGCGAGCCCCCAACCTGCTGAGGTGAGACCGGTACCCAACCCTGATTAAATCCCGGAAGATAACCTGCGTTGAAATGGAGGAAATGGGGCCCTGGGACCATAAGAAGGAAAGGAGTGACCCCAGTACTGATCAAACTGACCAGTGGGTACACGGGAAGGATTACCCTGACCAAAAGGAAAAGGTGAACCGCCACTCCCTCCCGGAGCGAAACCAAAAATGAAAGCCCTAGGGCCAGACATATGACCAGTTTCCTGCTGTAAAGCACCAAAACCATGATGCATAGTACTCGAAGCACGAGGCCCAAAGGGCTCATACCCGAGACCATGGGGTGTCGCCCGATTCTTGTCAGACTTGTCATCTTCTCCACTACCCATGGTCGCGGCCCACGGGTTCCGTATGGTGCAAGCTGGTACGGAATCGACCCCAACAGGGTTGATACCGGATACTTGACCAGGAAAGAGAAGGGACCGTGAAGAGTCATGAGGGGTAGCAGTACTGCTACACTCTGTGGGGCCCAGTTAATTCAAAGAATTGCCGCTCCCCATCACAGCAGAGGACCCAAAATGATCCACATTCATGACTCTATCCCCACCAACAGACGCTCAAGGACTAACCAAAAAGTCAGAGACTGGAGGAGGGTCCACCCTTTCCAGAGATAAACTAACACCAATGGAAGGGGGGCCAACCTTCCTGGCAACAGGATAGCCAACACCTGTGCTCTCTAGACTAGAGCCAGCCAAGGGCTGAATAGTCTTGGGACCCGGCAGGGCTCTGCCAACGAGGTACCTGCCGAAGGACTCTCCATGGGGTCGCCGGTACTACCGGAGGAGGACCGAGTCTTGTCCTTCCTCTTACCCCGTTTGTCCGACTTGGAGGAGTCCTTCATGATTAACAAACAACAAGATAAATTAACAATTCAGCCTTTATTTGTAAAATAAAATAATTTGAATTTAAACACTCACGAAAACGAACGGGGACCAAAACACGTGGCAATGGTACCGACGTTTTACAACGAAATACGGTGAAAAAAGGCAAAAAGAAATAGATAAACAATAGCAGGGAAACTGGTATAATAAACAAAGAATGAAAACAAACAATGACACAGGTTACCGCCCTATGAAAACTTGAACGAAGTCCAGGGTAAAAAACGACAGCCATGTGCTTCTTCGAGTTCAAGAAAAGAGGAAATTGGAGGTGCGCGCATCTTACACCCGTATGTCCGGTTTGGACAGGGCGTAGGTTCGTATTTGCGCGGGGCATTTTAAACTTTCCTTTCGGAGTTAAAGAACTGGTAGTTGGAGATCATTTGCATAATAATTGGACGTGGTAAGTATTGTTTTTGATATAAAATACATGTTTTCATTGTTGTATTCTGATTTTGATAATTGAACAGGAATACCGAAACGTGATATATTGTTAGTTTGTTTTTGCTGAATTGTTTGGCAATCTTATTTTCATATATATTAATTGACATAGACATTAACAGTACCTACCTACTTACTACCTACCTCCGTACATACAAACATCATAGAAAGACACCAGTAAACTATACCATCCACTACCTTGATGGAGAACGATGGATATGAAATCATTAACTGACGTCAGGAAAAGAACAGCACAGCTGCAGTTTATATATTTTTCTCCTTTATATCGTAACTGTATCGAACCATGCATGCTATATGAACTCTAAATATTACACGTTGTGTAAACGATATGGAGATTGCAAAGTATTTACACATTTGCAATGTAAATTAACAAGATAAAATTGCTATTAGTTTTACATTATATTGATTTCCTTGAGATTTAGTGTATGTAAAATACGATGCTATTAACTGATTCAATGATAAGTTAAAATGTATTTATTTAAAATCTATATTAGTCACACCATGCAAGTTAAATCGGATTAGCATTAATTCGACAACGACGTTATTTCCGTGAGTAATTTCCATAGCTGTATCTTAATCACAAAAAGTTTGGTGGACAAAAATCTTCAAAATCAGTTAAATGTTGATAAAAATGTATTGCAGTATTGTTTCTATTTAAAGATCTGTATCCACCTCTTATATTAATCTCTTCTTACAAAAAAATACAAATACAAAAAATAAAAAAAGTATTTCGTAGGTTTTGCGTGTTTAGAATACAAAACACCTAAAACTGTTGTATGGTCGAATATTGTCCATTTCAGCCCTCAGGCCTAATACTTGCTTAATTTATATTTCAAACAAAAATGTTACAATTATCTCTTAACTTTACCCTCTAAAATATCATTTCATTTTTAATTCTAGTTACTAAGAAAACAAGAGCGATTCTAAGCTAAAAGTTACAATTTACATTATCATCTTTCTAGCATGTTAGCAATATCCTGCTCATTTACATACAATGTATATCCATTACACACATTGAAGCTCGTCCTGGAATTCCCTTAGCTAATGATAAGACGCTAAACCCGATAAGAACAAAGATATCGTAGAAATAATAAATTTCTACATGATTGGTGTAAAATAATTTAAGTTTATTTAAATAACGTTTATCTAGTGGGATGAAATTTATTTTAGTAAAATATATACATATATTGGCGGAGTTTTCGGAGGTAATTTTGTGACTTTTACTTACTCTTTCGTTTGTAAACTTCTGATAAACATAAAGTAATATTGCACAAAACATAACATTGCGTTGTGCTTTTATCGCCAAGCAAAAACAACTCAAAATACAGCGCAAAATGAACCAACGCATCACCATTTTAAAAATATCTGAAAGTACGGTATCACAATATACAATGTATGGCGCAGTGTTTTGTAATTCTAACGTTTGTTAGTTTCTTTTGTGTGTGCGACGTTTTAACTTCTTGTTTACATTTTTGGTGCGATGATATAACCTGGACACAGAAACTATCAGTAGGGAATAGCCAAAAAATAAATATATTTAAAATGGAAATTATTTATCGTCCGCTGTATCACTCTGTCAGTGGGGGTGCCAATTGAATTGAATTGACACAAGGTTGATTTCTTTCACAATTTCACTATTTCGATTTCTCAGGAGTGCCTGTTTAGCAATGAACCTAGTATAAAACTAAAATTTGGGCGCTTCTAACATTAAAAAGGTAGGAACACAAGTAGAGAGACATTTTTTTTCTCCTGCCCACACACCTCCAACAACCCAGTATTAAAGGATCTGAGGTTGATGTTGCGGTATCTGTGCTGTAGCATTCAAGTAAGGTGGTACTATAAATGATACCGTCGGAAGCACAGCCCCACTACAAAAAGAACACAAAAAATCTCCAGCACACACGTAGGAATACACACATAGGGAGATATTAGCCAGGTGACATTTGACTCGTAGTTGTTAGTGCCTAAAAAGGCAGCTCTTGCAAATTCCTCAAAATTGTATTGATTAATGTATATATGCTAATTGCATTGATTGTATAAATAGTATATCTATATACTGTAAAGCGCTTTAGATTGTCTTATTCTACATGTAGCTAGATTTGTCGCTATATCAAATGTTGTATTCTATTATCATTAGATTTACTTCCACCTATAATTTAGGTTTCATGAAATAGACGAGCGTGACATACACAGAAGTAGGCCTAATGCATTCACATTCTTATACTGTGTTTACGTGTACCAACATGCAAACACAGATAAGCCTAGGTTTCCTATAACCTGAAGCTGTGGCTACTCACAAGTTAACAGAAATAGACCTACGGCTCTAGCAGCATGAAGCTGCCAACATATATACCAAAGATATCTTATTTTGCGAAAATCAGCAAAAGTCTATTTATTATCAAGATGTTTGCCACAAAGGGTTTAATAAACGTTCAAAGTTTGTATAAATATAACAGAAAACCGACGGAAACTGCATTTAAAATCAGTATAAGATGAGAAAACAATGAATGAAACCGCAATCGATATACGAATAGGTGTTCACATGTTGATTTTATATTTAACCTGTGTTTAATATGCATAAATGAAATTAATTAGTGGAATTGAATTTCCAAACTCATCAGTGGATGGCTTTGTGTGATACAATGGACTGTTTGAGTCCAGTAGAAATGGCTTGATCCTAAAAATAAAGGGCATGTCTCAGATAAACATGGATAGCGGATGAATCCTGCATAACACTACATTTTGAATACATTTTTTTTTGAAGAATGATTTGTTTTTCAAAAAGTGATTTCCCCAGATTAGGAAATTGTGAAAACCATGGTTACCACATCAAAAAACGCCAAAAATAGCAAAAAACATGATTTTCAACCCAAAATGTGACCCACGCAAGTAGTATTTGTTTTCTTACAACCTGTCTGAAATTGAATATCACCTACTCGGTAACAGAAATACTCACGTTTTGGCATAGGACGTTCAACCGGATTTTTCACAATACTTACACACGTGCTGTGTACAAAAAAAGACTACATGAAAAACTAGCTTTTGATGTGTAGACACAGATTTGTAAATGGCCAAAAAAGTAGTCTCAAACCAAATTCGATTTATTTTTTGTGAAGCCCACGTAGTCAACTTCATCATGTTTATGCCAATTTTAGTGCTGTTTTATTTTTAAAACTTTGATACATATAATATTACATAGTGTATTCATTGTACAAAAATATCACCCATGGCCACCGTACGCTACTGTACACTGCTACCATAGAACACTGAAATAAAAACAGGAGAAAATATAGGGGGAATACCACAGTAATGAAGATATTTACCCTTTTTTACAGTAAAATACATAGAGGCTACCTCAATAGTCTCCATGTTTTACCCTGTGATTCTTTTGTCACTACAGCACATAACTTTAATAATAATAATAATAATTTGAGGTTCTTATATACCACTTTATCACAACCTAGTTCGTAGGTCGTCTCAAAGCGATTCACAAACTATTATCCGTGGTTAAAGGGACTTTGCAACCAGTCAATATCTTTCTCAACCCCACGGGAAGCATACAGCCGGTGCTGCCATTTCGGCGCTCACAACTAGCGTTCAACAATTCTAGCACTCCCCAACCACTTACTAATTTACAGCTGAGTAGACTGGAACAAGCGGAGTAAAGTATCTTGCTAAAAGATACAAAACATTGGCGTGCCGTGACTCGAACCCGCAACCCTTCGGTCACGAGCCTTGCGTCCTACCACTAGACTACAGTACCTACTATGTAACTTTAACTTTTATAACTATTATATTTTTTTATAAGTTAAGTACACATCCCTCATAAGAAAACGGACAAGTGGTTACTGTTAGCCTGATGCGCAGGACTTTTAATATGTATAAGGACGCCAACAGACAAAACTATATATTGACTTTCCATATAAACCAAAGATGAAACTAAGCAAAACGGCATACACCGAGTTTACCATTTCGCTGTGACATCTGTCAAAAGACACTGTTACGCCCCGACACGATTTATCCACCTGGTGAAACATCGTGCTAAAATTGCTGCGTTCACGACCGATTTCTCACCTAGAATTCGTGCAAAACATATGGGCATAGGTGACAGGTTTTCTCATCCGGCATGATTTCTCACCCTTGCTCCCTATCCCAATTCGGGTTTTGTTAGATGGATTTCATCCCTGGTGTTTTTTCGAATAAACTTTATTTTAAAACATTGAAAAAAATTGTTGTAAACTTACATTAATCAGGCAACACCAATAACTCAAATGGCTGAGATAGCATAAGGTACAAAGGACACGAACTCTCAATATAATATGAACCTATTAGAATAGGTGTGTAATTAGTTGCTCTAGAAGGGTACTCACATTTCTTTTTTATTATAAAATATACATATTTCTAGTTGTAACGGGGACTGCTTCATAAGGCGTCAACACTAACCACGTAGTCTCCCATGACGCATCAGAAAATGATCGAAATGTCATAATGCACACGCATACCGAATTTGAACGAAATAGGACGAAACTTAAATATCGACCAATGAAAGCGAGCTTATGTTAGCCTTTCTTGTCCAATTAAAAAACAAATGTAGCATGAGTGTTCGTAGCGACATTTAACACATATATACAAAATTTGAACAAACACGTTTGATAATAAATATTACTAAACAACCAACGCTGGTCACACACGGAATTGGAATGAAATTTGGCAATGCATAACTTTCTACTAATCAGAAGTCAGTCTTCCACAGCAATTGTGCGGGGACGTTGAACCTGTTTTTCCCATCTTCAAGAACAGCATCAAAATCCATTCAACAACAATTTTTGCAGTCTATAAAACAGAAACAGAAATAAGTATAGCCCGATACGTCTCAGCACGTCAGAAGTCGTGATTTGTGTCTGTTCGGAAAACTGAATGTCGAATATCATAAGCGTCCGCGGAGAAGTTTCTAAACTTATTAAATATACCACAAACGCCCAAAAACAAAAATCAGTGGTCGTACTCATGACAACGGGTATTATGCCTATTCCTAACACGAATTCTCACCCGGGTTGGAAAGTATGCAGGGGTGAAAAATCGTGTTACAAACGCAGCAATTTGATCACGATTTCTCACCCGGGTAAAGTATCGTGTCGGAGTGAGAAATCGTTGTATAAAATACACTTTTGAACGTGGCAAAAGACTTGCGGTCCTATACAGGAGAATACAATAATCATATAATCATCTGCAAGATTGAATGAACTTGATCTTTCTACATGTACTTTAGTTCTCTGAACGTCTGTACTATCACAGATAATCTAATTTGTTTGTACTCCAGATTTACAGTTTCTACAACAAGAGCAATAAAATATCAGTATTTGCTTAAAAACTTACGGCAGGACAAAAACTCTACAGTTCGTTCATGATGGATACATCTTCAGTATTATTGGAGAGTCGTCTGTTTTGCTCATACTTCTTTTTCGCAATATGAGTACTTCGTCAGATAACGCCCCTAAGACATGTCTAGTAAAGTAGCCAAAACAAACAGTCGTTATCATACAAAAACCAACTGTAAATATGTTCAGTAGCTGATATCATTATCTCGGATTACCTTATGTAACTCACTTTGCATAGATTGTAGTGTCTCGGTCTGTACAGTATGTAGACTGATAGACAATTTGCATGTACTTGAATCATTATTATATTTCTAAAACTATCACAAATCTATTTGTCAATTTCATGAACAAAATGCTGTTCAAATAATTTAGAATATTATATTCCGATAGTGTTACAGTGAGGTAATAACTAAAAGTTATAGCACGAAACTGCTTTCTGAGGAAACCATTTCTATTTTCTAGCAGCAGCTTTCAATGTTCCTCCAGCAGCAGCTGTCAATGTTCCTCTAGCAGCAGCTTTCAATGTTCCTCTAGCAGCTGCTGTCAATGTTCCTCTAGCAGCTGCTGTCAATGTTCCTCTTGCAGCAGCTTTCAATGTTCCTGTATCAGCAGCTGTCAATGTTCCTGTATCAGCAGATTTCAATGTTCCTCTAGCAGCAGCTTTCAAT